CAGTTCAGATATTAGAGCATTCAATATTGTATATTCTTCCCAAATTGGTTTTTAAATTTAATGTAATTCCAAACAAAACTCCAACAGGTTTACTTGTGAAACTTGACAATCTGAGTCTGTTTACACAGGAAAATGCAAAGGACAAACATAACCAACACAACCCTGAAAAACAAGATAGGAGGACTAGCTCTTGATGATATCACGACACAGGGATATTGAGGTATGAATAAACAAATTAAAAAGTGGTACAAAACAGAGAGCTCAGAAACAGACCCACACATTTATGGATATTTGTCATCCAACAGAGATGGCCCTAAAGATTGATGAAAAAAAGATGTACCTTTCAATAAATTTGTGCTGGAACAAAGAATAATCATATGCAGAAAAAAAAGATGTGTGATCCCCTACTTCACCTGATAACACAAAAATCAATTGTAGGTACAGACCTAAATGTAAAAGTAAGCTACACTCTAAAGCTTTTAGAAGATAAAACAGAAGACTATCTTCACAACCTCATGATTGTAAAAGCTTTCTTAAACAAGACAGACAAATTATTATCATAAAAGAAAAGATTAATAGATTTGATGATATTAAAATTAAGAGCTTTTGAAACAATATAAAGAAAATTAAAAGAGAAGTCAAACTCAGAGAAGACACCTGTAATATTTAAAATTGGTAAAAGAATATATAAAGAACTCTCTATAGATGCTGTAAACATTAAAAAGATAGTAAATTTAAATATTAATAACCTTAAAAATTTAGCTTGAAGTGGACCAATTCTTAGAAAATAACTTCTTAAAACCAACTCAAGAAAAAAGAGAAAAACAGAATAGCTCTATAATCACTGATGAAACTGAAGCACTGCCAAAATCTTCCCACAAAAAAAATCTCCAGGCCCAGGCTTCACCAGTAAATTCTATCCAACACTGAAAGAAGCAATGACTTCTTTTTATATAAACTTTTCTAGACAATAAAAAAGATACATGACCCAAGTTATTTATGAGGCAAGCATGACCTTGACAGTAATGCCCCAAGTTATTTATGAGGCAAGCAGGACCTTGAAATCAAAGGCAAGAAAAAAATACATATGCATAAATCTCACACATGAACATTAAAAAAAAAATCATAAAATATTAGCAAATCAAATTCAGCTATATTTTTAAAAGATCATAACCTAGCTGGGTTTATTCCTGATATGCATAGGTAATTTAACACTTGAAAATCAATTAATATACTTTCCCACAGTAACAGATTAGAAGAGAAAAATTATGTGATCATTTCAATAGACACAGAAAAAGCATTTAATAAAATATAAAAATCATTCGTGATTTCAAAAAAAAGAACCCTTAGTTAACTGAGGATAGAAGGGAACTTCCTTAATCAGGTAAGAAATAGCTAACAGAATAATCTACAATAAACATCACTCTAAATGGAGAAATAGTACAAGCTTTTCTTATGATACTGGGAGAGAGGCCAGGAGGTTACTGAATGCTATACTGGAGGTCATAGTCAGCACATTAAGAAAAAGACAAGTTAAAAATAAAAATTGAAAGGTTAGAAAAAAAAAACCCAAAATGCATTATTCATAGATGAAGACTATATATTTAGATAAACAAAAGATTTATTGATAAATTAGTAGAATGGCTAAGAGTTTAGCAAAATTGTTGGATACAAAACCATTAGAAAGTTCAATTGTATCTCTATGTCAATGCATAAACTATTTTCAAGTTCATATTTTAAAAACCTTAATAAAAAGATATTTAAGATGTCTATGGAAAAATTATAAAACTCTGAAGGACATTAAAGAATGCCTAAACACATCAAGAAGCCACACCAGTTCAGATATTAGAGCATTCAATATTGTATATTCTTCCCAAATTGGTTTTTAAATTTAATGTAATTCCAAACAAAACTCCAACAGGTTTACTTGTGAAACTTGACAATCTGAGTCTGTTTACACAGGAAAATGCAAAGGACAAACATAACCAACACAACCCTGAAAAACAAGATAGGAGGACTAGCTCTTGATGATATCACGACACAGGGATATTGAGGTATGAATAAACAAATTAAAAAGTGGTACAAAACAGAGAGCTCAGAAACAGACCCACACATTTATGGATATTTGTCATCCAACAGAGATGGCCCTAAAGATTGGTGAAAAAAAGATGGACTTTTCAATAAATTTGTGCTGGAACAAATGAATAATCATATGGAGAAAAAAAAGATGTCTGATCCCCTACTTCACCTGATAACACAAAAATCAATTGTAGGTAAAGACCTAAACGTAAAAGTAAGCTACGCTATAAAGCCTTTAGAAGATAAAACAGAAGACTATCTTCACAACCTCATAATTGTAAAAGCTTTCTTAAACAAGACAGGGAAATTATTATCATAAAAGAAAAGATTAATAAATTTGATCATATTAAAACTAAGAGCTTTTGGGTCTGGCCCTGTGGTTCACTCAGGAGAGTGCGGCGCTGGTAGCACCGAGGCCATGGGTTTGGATCCTATATAGGGATGGCCCGTGTGCTCACTGGCTGAGCGTGGTGCGGACCACACCATGCCGAGGGTTGCAATCTCATTACCGGTCAAAAAAAAAAAATTAAGAGCTTTTGAAACAATATAAAAAAAATTAAAAGAGAGGTCAAACTCAGAGAAGACACCTGTAATATTTAAAGTTGGTAAAAGAATCTATAAAGAACTACAAGAAAACTTCCAAAAATTAAAAAAATAGACATTCTAATAGAAAAATGAGGCATAACACTTAGAACAAGTACCTCAAAAGACAAAATCTACATGAGCAAAAAGCTGTTAAATCCCTTGGTAATAAAGGAAATAGAAAATAAAACCTTGATGAGATACTATTATACAACCACTTCACAAGCAAATGTGACAATATCAAATGCTGGCATAGGATACTGACTGATGAGAATGCTCATGCATGCTGATGGTACAAATCACTCTGATACCCAAAAGTTAATGTTGCAGACATACTTTCCTTAGGGATATAACACAGAGAAACTGGCACATGTGTACATGTAGATTATTCGTGCTTTATGTACTTCTCTCAATGTCTATTACATGAAGACTGTTTAAGAGAAAGGTTGAAAAATCCAGTAGAAACACAGATTCTGCAGCTTACATGAGAGGCTGAGGTGCGATTTGGGAGTTTTTATTAAACAGGTGATTGAACAGGTGACTGAAGCTTCGGATGAGAATAAAAAATGACATAAGAATAAGTGAGCCAAGGATAAAAGTCCAATAAACAAAAACTCTAAGAAGAGCAAAAGAGAAGTCACTGAAGGACGAAGGAGAACCCAATAAAGAGCAGAGAGGAAACCCAGAGGAGAACTAGAAACAAGCTTAGCAGATGACAAGGCAGAAGAGCATAGTTTGTGGACAGTGTCAACTATTAGCTACAGAAAAGCAAGTCAGACAGACAAAAAAGAGGACACTGGATTTAGCAATTAAGAGATCACTAGTAATTGTAAAGCAAAAGTACAAATCAAAAGGGGAAATAAAGTCTTACCTCAAGAAGAAAGTCTATTTTCTCTTTATTAGGTCTAAGAAATAGCTGGTTAAATTGAACACTAATTGTTCTACCTTCCAATACATCACGGACTGTATTACAGGCACAGACTTTAAAACAGATTTCATCTAGAGCTTCATTTCTGTAGAATACAAAAGTAGATCCAATAAAGTTATTTTTATTATAAATGAAAGGTGTATATTACAAAACTAAATTCACAAGAATGAGTCATTTATTCTTGAGGTAAGATTTTAAGATAGTCAAGCACATTAGTAAATATCATATAACAAATTGAGGGGAAAAAGCAGAATAGTTTTTGAATTTATCAAGGGACAATTTAGTTACAGATTAGGCAACATAATGGAATTCTGCTATGTACAATTTTTCCCCCGAGCACTTTTAAAACGAACTAGATGGCCAAATGTTAGAGTGGCTCCTCTGGCTATGTGAATTTCCCTTACATTAGCAAAAGTGAAAGTAATGCCACAGATTCATAGGTAATTTGGAGGTGTATTTTTGATAAACCAGAAGGCACTTGCTCTATTATTCAAAAACTAATTTTTCAACTTACTTACTTACCCCTGTTGAGCTTTCTGAAAGAGTTCTCTTAGTACTGATTGCCGGAACTGGACAGGTAAACTGAAGGTTAAGTTATCGTCAATGAAAATCTGTATTACCTCCTGGAACACATACATAAAATTGCATCCACTTCAAAAACCATGGCAAAGTTTCTTTCCTTTAAAAAAGTCTTTCTAGGGCCGGCCCGGTGACACACTCGGTAGAGTGCAGCGCTTGGGAGCGCGGCGGCACTCCCGCCGAGGGTTCGGATCCCATATAGAGACCGGTCCGCTCACTGGTTGAGCGCGGTGCGGGCGCGACTCCGAGGGTTGCGATCCCGTTACCGGTCACAATAAAAGACAAAAAGGAAAAAAAAAAAAAGTCTTTCTATAATGAAAAATATAAGTTGAGAAAATAATAAAAATATCTTACTAGGAAAAGCCTTTTTCTAAAATTCTAAAATTAGATTAAGGGTAAAAATAGCCCTCCCCCTTTTTTAAAAACAATTGAAGACCATGAACCAAAAATGAGAGGTGAGGGAGAAATCAATCAATAAGATGCAATTCAGTTATGCTATTATAGGAGAAGTTTAAAATATTCTCATCCACTTTAAACATGGGTTCATAAAACAAACTTTTAAAAATACTAAATTAATTAGAAATAATTCAGCTAGAAAAAAACATATGCTAACACTTCTAATAAAGGTAAATGGTTTAAAGTATATTATTTAGTGAATTACAGAAAATACCTACATTATTACATAGAGACTTTTTCTCAGCTTTTTCTCAAGCAATGGAAGAGGAGGAAAGAAGGGGAGATAGTGTGGAGAGACAGGGAAGAGGATTTCTGGAAACAGTTCAAACTAATCGGCCGCTACCACAAAAGTACTGACAAAAGTGGTTTCAAAACTATAGAGAAACCACTGTCTCATCTCCATAGAAAAATATGAGCAACGTAGGGCTCCAAAGGAGCAAGACAGCCACTTCCCAAGTGTGAGAAGACACATTGGTTACAGCTGTTCAACTACTGCTTGATCAGCAAAAAAAAAAAAAAAAACTATAGAGTTCATATAAAGAAAATCCTATTCAAATAAAAGGCTAAATATGATTTCCAAGATACTTCCACATATATTAATTACTAAAGTGATAAATTTCAGAGTTGCAACAAAATTGCTATTTTCCCCTTCCTCATTACACTATTTTCTGACTTACATATTTTGGTACTTTTAATATATTCACAGTAACACATGCCTGTCTATGGGTAATATTCTAAAGTTCTTGTCTGCACAAGTCTTGCCATTCTAGTGAGCTGCTTAAAGAATCTGTATCTCACCATAATTGATCCTATAAGCCTACCTTTACTTTACTAAGGAAATGTAACTAAAAGATCTCTAGCCTTTTATAAATTCACCTGGATCTGTAATTCGTCTTCAAGAAAGTTTAGATTCTTCCCTAGGGCAATGCAATATTTGAAAAATGGGCAAGGGAAAAAGGGGAGGAAGTGCTATCTTCTCCCTCTTCATCTATTTTCTGTGAAAGAAAGAAACTCTAGATGAGAAGAGGTGGGATAAAATCCAACTGGAGACATAAAACTGAAAGTAAGTTACAGCTTTGTCATTTCATGATTCCTGTTTTGAGCAAGATAACCTGAAGGAACTGTTCAGTCTCTAGAATAAAGGCTTTCCAATAAAGATTTTAAAAGCAAAAATTCTAATTCCCAGTGATTTTCATTACAAAACTAAAGATAAGAATCCCGAAGGGACAATAAAAATCTTAATAGACTAATTAAGCCTTTTTCATGAGTAAAACAGAAATGATGACCAGGCTCATGACAAAGACCATCCAACCTACCAAAACTGCTTTGCTCACTTTCTCCTTTGGTCTTAATGTTTGCAGTGGTAATAAAGCTGGGCTACAAGGCCAAAATTTCAAAACAGACAAAAGACTTCTGGCTCTGTGAAACTAAAAGCTGTCTACCTATAATTCTGAATGTTAAGAGTTCAGTTTACAGTTTCTTACAGATTTATTTAAAATGGGCAACCTCCACACCTTCAAGAAAGGTTAATACCAGTAATAATGAACTAACATGTGAACAGTGCTTTGCCTTAGCACTTATAACCTATAACTTCTCACTTGATTCTCATAAGAATTTTATGAAATGGGATAATTATTACCACTATTTTATAGGCCAGTATAACACTTTTGAGAATACTTGTCCGAAATCACACAACTCGTAAATAGTGGTGGCAAAATTTGAACCCAGTTCCACCTAGCTTCCAAAACTTTTCAACTACACCACACATCTCCATCACATATCTTACCTGATAGCTGCCAGATCGCAAACAAATATGGACTTGACTATATGGAGTCAATTGTTGAGATGTACTATCAGAAGAAGGTACAAGAACATCACATGCTTGACAATAGCCAGCTAACCGCTTCTCATCTATGGTACAATGAAGAGATAATGAACCTATCTGTAAAGCAAGAGGTATACGTCATTATCCATTAATGTAATATAAACAGTAGTCTAGCACCCCTTAGCACATCTTAACAGTACAAGAAAATACTAATGAGAAATTCAAAATTCAAAATTGGAAGTACCATAAAAAAAGAAAAGGTTAAAGGTTTAGAGCAGTGGTCTGCTTTTGATTGTCCCTTGGATTATGAACAATTTTCGAGTTATAAACGATTTGAGGTGGTGTAAAGGGAAAAAAAAAACAAAGAAGAATATGCAAAAGAGACTAAATATGGCCCACACAGCCTAAAATATTTACTATCTGATCCTTTACAAAAAAGTTTGTTAACCCCTGATTTAGAGTATTCAGGCCAACATACAGAAGGTGGACATTATTATCACTCTAAGTAGGTATGACAAATAACACATTAATGAAGAGAGAACACTGTTAAAAACAAGCTTCACATTTTAAAGTACATATAACAGGCAGAGATTTAAAGGAGAAAGCAAAGAAAACTCAATTGGAAAGAACAGAAATGCTTCTACCAAAACAGAAGATTTTTTTAAAAAGGCAATTTGAAAAAAATGAAAGTTTTCGGGCCGGCCCAGTGGCGTACTCGGTAGAGTGCGGCGCTTGGGAGTGCAGCGGCGCTCCCGCTGAGGGTTCGGATCCCATATAGAGACCGGTCAGCTCACTGGTTGAGCGCCGTGCGGGCGCAACACCGAGGGTTGCGATCCCATTGCCGGTCACGAAAAAAGACAAAAAGGGAAAGAAAAAAAAAAATGAAAGTTTTCAATTACCATACCTGAAATGCTATAAAACTAGAAATCTGATAAGTTCCCTAGGCAAAGTAAAACAAGGATTCCTAACAGGGCTAGAATAGATCTAAATTAAACCTCTAGGACATTTAATCAATTTCTCTACTGAGAAGAGGAAAGATTAAAGTGGGAATTTTTCCAGGCACCAGGAATATTTTTGTTATGTATTTTAGTCAGTCATCTGAAATCATAAAAAGAAAAATGCAAATGATAAACACATAAAAACAGTTTGCCCTTATTAGGAATTAAGAAAGGCAAATTTATAAAAGATACCATATTTCACCCATCAAATTAACAAAAAAAAATTCTTTTTTTAAAACGTT